TAAGTGCTGGTGCCCCACACAAACTGCGCCGTCCTCGCCGCCACATCTCGCTGAGAACTGCACCGGGCACCTCTGGCAGCCTCTCCCCCGCCTGGCCAGGAGCACCAGGCACCGAGCCGGCGTGACCTCGGCTGACCTCAGGTTTCCGATCGTCAGATCGTCGACGGCCAGCGCCTCGGGCTTCAGGCGGCCCGAGTACTCTCCATCATCTGGTAGTCGAAGAGGAAGCTGACGGGCGGCGGCGGCTGAGATCTGGCGGCACACAGACGCCGGCTCGTCGTGAGGTGCGGGCATCGGATGTGACCGCCCGGACACGGCTTGCCCGGACCGCCCGGGCACGGGTTAGGGTGTTGCCGCCGTCCATCACCGATCGAGCGCCTGACCGACGCCGAAGCGGCCCCGAGACACCGCCGAACGCGCGGCTGACGGCCAGCTGGGAGGCCCTCGAACCAGTCACACGCAGCCAGTGCTGGAAGCGCAGTCATCATCGCCAACGACACACGAAACAAGACTGTCGCCGGCTATTTCCACGATGGCGGGCCGAACATCTATAAAAATGACAAGCGCGGACTGGACCACAACGGCACCACCCGTGACAGAGCCGACAGCATCACGTAGCACCGGCATCAGCATCACCAGAAAAATAACAGTACACAGCACCCGCCACAGCAACGCAGCGCCAGCAGTCGCACCAACACCAACGCTGCATCACCACACCATAAGCAGCAGGACACCATCCCGCGCGCCCGCACAGATACCGCCCTTGCCCGCCCCCTCAAGCAGCACCCGGGCGCTCACTTGTGGCGGTCGGTGAACTCGCGGTACTCGCCGTCCGTGGTGATTGCCGAGATGCTGCCATTGACGCGCTTCTGAATCTCCAGGTGCTTGTCCGTGCTAATCTGTCAGTTCTTCGGGGCCGCCGACCGCATGATGGCGCACCTGTCGCGGTTCATGTCGGCTCAGCGGCGGAGTCGGCTAACGCGGATACTCGTGCCACGCGACGGATTTGTCCGCCGCAGACGCTAACAAAGAGGACGGATCGACGGCTGGAGAAGGGCCAACATTTCCAGACGGCTACTTTTCCAGCCGCCTGGGATCCTCGCCGGTAAGGGTCGCGAGAGCGGATCATGCACGACGCTGGCTTCAGGCTCACACTGTAAGGGAATGCCGTCACGAATGGAACGCGGAAAACTCGACGGTATTTATCGTTTCGGGGACGGTCGAGAACGTCCAAGTGATTGCGACAACACGAAGGACATTGACAGTGGCACGTGGAACTTCCCACAAATACCCACGGCAACCGCAAACAACCCTGTTGCGCCCACTCGGAAGAGTCGATACATGGCGGACCTTGTTTGTACGAAGCGCCGCGCCACAGTAATTCCTAACGATGTTTTATGCACCGTCTCCACTATCCTGCGATGTCCGCCACACATGCCATGGTGCCCCAGCGCCCCACAGCGCATCGGCTCGAATATTAACTAGGGACGCCCGCCGCTGATCTGCTATGACAACCGGATAAACAAGCAACAACGAGGGAGCTGCACCCGTCCCAGCCGCCGACGCGAGCTGGTCCGGAGCCAGCGGCGCCTGACGAGGCCGCCGCCGCCGCCGCCGCCGCCGCCGTCGCCGCCGCCGCCGCTCGCTGCCTCCGACCTTCCGCGGCGGCCGCCACCGCAGCACGGCACGTACCGCGAAGGGCAGCCACTTCCTCTCTGCCGCCCCTCTGCCCCGTCCCCCCCCCCCCCTCCCAGCTGAGAGTTTCATCCAGCGGCATCACGTCCTACGCCATTCCTAGGCCGCACCGTGTGAGTGGACGAGCAGGAAACCGCTCTATTTCACATCAGGGTGGAGGCAGTTCTGGATGGCCCACTGTCAGCCGCAGCTGGTCGACTGCCCGGGACCACGCAGCTGTTTCAGTGGCATTACGATCATTAAAGGGAATGTTTCACGTCTGAAGATATTGAGGCAAGCATCAGATATGAGGAAACAAAACTTTTTTAGAAGAAAAGACCGCTCTAGACGGCACAATGCTCTGGCTCCTCCATGCGTCATGGTTTGATTACGTCATCGTACCTTGCACGGCGTCGATTGAGAGCCAATTGACGGCCGTTCCATCTGGAAATCGCGCCCACGAACGCCAGATATGAAAGCCTCGACAATTATCTCTTTCTGGCCTTGATGGCTGCATGGCTCATCGAATGACAGGATTTGAATGACGTCATGAATGCCAACGTGACTTTGAAATACTCTTCCTGTTTTCGCGGGCGTGAAGCTGGGAAACTAGGGAGGCTAAGTCTTAAGAAGGGCAGGATTGTGAACAGCACAGAAAGGTCTTCAAGAAGGCTATTTCAATTCAAAACCCCCTAAAAATGTGCAACACTCCCTTCAAATGACTGGTGAATAGCAAGAATCAGTGAAAATGACGAGTTCATCCAAATTATAGCTCGTGCGTTCACTCTGCACAAATCAAAACAGACGTAAGCTGCAGTTCCGCTCTATGAAACAGCATTCCGGTCGGGCGGCGTCAGCTGGCAGCCGGGGTGGTCAGACGGCAGTCGCCGAGGCCACGCGCTGCTCGCCGCGTTCCCCGCCGGCTGACAAGGGCGCCGGCCTCACTGGCGGACACGGACGCGCCGGCACGGTCCGCGATCCTCGGCGCCCATGCGGACACCTGTCTCTCAGGACGGCAGCCGCCGATGCTTCGGACGGATACGGCTGCCGGTCTCTAAGACTGGCACTGTCACCGATCTCCGGGACCTGCACGGTCGCCGATCTCTGGGACTGGCACGGCCGCCGATCTCTGGGACCGGCACGGTCGCCGATCTCTGGGACCGGCACGGCCGCCGATCTCTGAAACTGGCACGGTCGCCGGTCTCTGGGACCGGCACGGTCGCCGATCTCCGGGACTGGCACGGTCGCCGATCTCTGGGACTGGCACGGTCGCCGATCTCTGGGACTGGCACGGTCGCCGATCTCTGGGACCGGCACGGTCGCCGATCTCTGGGACTGGCACGGTCGCCGATCTCTGGGACCGGCACGGTCGCCGATCTCCGGGACCGGCACGGTTGCCGATCTCTGGGACCGGCACGGCCGCCGATCTCTGGGACTGGGCACGGTCGCCGATCTCTGGGACTGGCACGGTCGCCGATCTCTGGGACCAGGCACGGTCGCCGATCTCTGGGACCGGCGCGGTCGCCGATCTCTGGGACCGGCACGGTCGCCGATCTCCGGGACTGGCACGGTCGCCGATCTCCGGGACTGGCACTGTCACCGATCTCTGGGACTGGCACGGTCGCCGATCTCTGGGACCGACACGGTCGCCGATCTCTGGGACCGGCACGGTCGCCGATCTCTGGGGCCGCGACGGCCGGGCGCGGGTCGGTTCGCTCGGTCGGAACCGCCGTATCCGTCACGGTTCGCTGACAGCTATCCCGGAGAACGGAGCAAGCAATGACCTCAACGACCCCGAGCCGTGCCAGCGGCACCCCCTGGAGCACTGAGTGCGGAGCGGCGGCGCTGGGCTGTTCTGCTGGCCGGCGCTAATCTAACCTGACAGTTTTTAAACTGCTTGAATAGTTCACTTACTTAGTGTTGTCCAATCGCTAGCGAGCTACGCTGGCCGTGCCGTTAAGTCTCACCGCTGGTCACTTACCGCGGGCCTCGGGCTGCGTGTCAACGGAGCCCATAGCGCGTTAGCCAGTCCATAGTCCCCACACAACGTCCGTTGACAAATTATACCGAGCGGGCTGGAGCAGACGACCTCCTCCACCAAGACTCTTCATCACGACCAATGTAACCTGCGTTTCTGTGACGTTACAACGAATAACAACCAGAGGTTGCACGGAACAACGACGAACACTTCTCAACACAAAGCTCTTTGGGCATTCCCTCCTTCCTCCGCCGTCCCCGGTCTACCATCGATCTTTCCCCATGCCTCCACATCACTGCCTGCTGACGCTCCAGACGGGCGCCGAAGACTCACCAGCGTTCCACCATGTCCTCCTGCACCAGCTGCTGGTACTCCAGCAGCGCTGGCAGCAGCACGGTGCGGAAGTCGCGCTCGTACTGGCTCGCCTCCAGCAGCAGCAGCACGTACTCGTTGTGCGCGTTGTGCAGGCGGCGGCAAGCTTTCACGTACCGGTCCTTCACCTCGTCCAGCTTCCGGCCCGCCTTGCCTGTCGGCGCAGCAGTGGTTAGAGTGCCGCATCGACAGCTGTCCACCGCCGGACGGATTCTCCGCTGGGGCAGGATTTTTGCTGTTTTGGCTATGGCATGACGCATGTTAATTTGACCGTCGTAACTTGGCCACGTCCTCCACAGAATACCATTTATCGGAGAAACGCGCTTCATGAGACTCAAATCGATCAACCCTTCCAAGCAGCCCATAAGACCACTCTCCGCGTTAAGTCGATAAACCCCGCGCCCGCCTCCCAGCATAGCCGTGGCGGAGCGCGTGGGTTCGAGCCGCTTCAGCGCCAGATATCTGCCCCTGGCTGGGATCGCCTGCGGCCGGCGCTAGCGACCGCTCACGGTAAGACGAGGTCAGAGGCCGGAGCGGACCGTGACCAGTATTGCGGTATTTAACCTTTCGGTACCAAATTCTGCATTGGCCTGAACTTGCACGACCTGATGGTGGGCTCAGGGCTCACGTAACAAGCCCTGCTTAGCGTGGGCTCTGATCCCGAAAATCCATCCAATCAAAACGCTGGAACTGCTTCTAGACCGCTCATGAGGTCACTATTCCGGCGCAAAGTCGGACTTGATTCTTAGAAAGCACAACTATAACTAAGCCGCACACGAGGTGCACGGTTTGGTTCAGAACCGCGGGCGACCCGGCGAAGTTTGGACTTGAATAACCTTCTTGTGGCAATGGAAACTGGCGATAACAATGAAGAGCAAAGAAGATCCCCTTCAGGGGACTCAAGAACCACCAGCTGGCACTGCTGCAGTCGGCAAAAGAATACGATGACTATTCATCCGCGACAGGCCAGACAGATTATCTACAATAAGCTCACAAACGGTGTGATTTTCCTGTCCGATGGTCCAGATGTAAGAGCTTGGCAGACACAACATCGATGGAAGACTTCACATGCTGTCAATGTGATTGATGATGGCGAATACGTGAAGCGGCAGGCCGAGGTGTTGCCGAGGGGCTTAAATAGTTATTATGGCATGGCAGACGCCTTGACATATGGCGATCACTGGTGTGTCGATGGAAACAAGCTTATATGCACTTAACTTTGTATAGCGTATCACATGGTCCAAGCTCGTGTGCCTCTGGTTAAACAGCAACTTCAAGAAAGGAGCACAATAGAACCTAAGTTGTATGCTGCCATCCGGCAATGCGCGAAAATCAGCAACTGAACAACACTGCCTACTCAAAGCTGACAAGGCTTCTTGCTAATATATATTTTCAGGCACTATCCAGTCCGTATACCTGTCTGGATGTTGTCCTTTCAAGGTGGCACATCGAATGCATGTTTCAACCTGCTTGGAGCGGTCAGGGAAGATATCAAACTACTAGTTTTTTTTCCAATCGTTAGCGACATATGATATCAGAATGTCTCCAATACATCAGGAAGAGCATGTGAAACGAGTATATATATATATATATATATATATATATATATATATATATATATTTATATATTTATATGACGAAAGCTATCTGTTTTCTGTTTTACCTAGTATAAACAAATGCCAAAAAATTGACGTTTACAGTACCTCTGTAAGTGTTCGTTAAGTGCTTCAAACAAAACGTTTTTAATAAAACTCTTTTACAAGTTCCTCACAGGATAATGGTGGTCGGACACTTTTCAGCACCGTTATCATTTTTCGTTAACAATGATTATTGGCTACCTACCTCCAAACTTCTTTCGGACGCAAGTACTTCATATCGCCACATCACGAGCCTTTTGAGAAAACGCGGCGCACAAAGTGCACGTTAACTCTGAACAGCAATCAAACTTTTCGGTCGACATATGCACTAAATTTCTTAGGGCAGAAAGAAAACAAAATTTTCGTATAATATCTTAAATTGCAAGTGTAAAGAATAAAATCAGCCATGCGCTAACCGCTATTCCGATAAATGCTGGTGGTATATCGGTCTTATTGGAAACGTTGCAACGTACATTGGTAAAACTAAATCACGGCAATGCGTGAGCAGCAGTGTTTTTACGAGGCCCAGCGTAAGGGTCGAGATTTACGTAGAGCGTTATGCCGACAAGAACTGTGTCGACCGTTGGGATTCCCCGTTGTACAGCGGAAGACAAACTGCGCTAGCCGGTCCAGGCAACCTAGCTGTGGCCCATCGTACCGCCAAACCCCAGCAGACTTTTTGCACCATCACGACTTCAAGCCAACATGCCCGCCACCGCCACCGCCCATCTACCAGTGCTTCCAGCCATTCGGCTACGAGCCCATGCCCATCTGCCCACCCATGCCGATTGTCTGTAGCGACGCTACACGACCATTCGCTCCGAGCATGCCGGCCGAAACGATCCTGTCGGGCTTCCGCAACGCGCACAGCGAGCCGGGATTCCAGACCATGACCAGCGGCTACTCAAACACCTTCCGCATGCCGTGCGACTTCATGTCCAACTTCCAAGTCGTGCACACGATGGTGAACCCGTGTCCGCCGGCGGTGACCTGCACCCGTGGTGACGCGCCGCGCATCACCTGCCTGCGGTGCCCGACGATGGTCGGCTACGTGCCGGACAAGGTGGTCATCACCGAGCTGGCCGACGACGAGTGCCAGCAAATGGGGCTCTGCGGCTACCGCAAGGCGGCCGACTGTTATGAAGTGGTGCCGCGGCCCTTCTTGCCCACCTCGCTGCCCGGACTGGGCGACGCTGGCGACTACCCGCCCAAGCCGTGGCGCGACCCGTGCGGCGGACGCATCTACCACCGGCTCTCCGACAACGACTTCATCCAGCAGTGGGGGAGTCCGTTCTAAATGGTGACGGCTGCAAGTGGTGATGAATGAAGTCCGTTTTAAGACGCTGCAAGTTGCCTATGCCAAAGCGATCCCCTTTGTTGATTTGTTTCTGTCCACATGAGAAATGAAAACCGCCTGTGATAAAATTGAAAATTTTCAGTTCCACCTGACCGGGTGTCTACGTAATAAAACCCCCTAAAAATCGGAGCACGAATTTTGTGGAGCGGTCGGCACTATCTGTCAAAAATCGATGGTGGCTTCCTGCTTCTGATCGCCCGCCATTTCGCCTTCTTTCACTTCCCGCCTTCCCTGGACACGACAGCGCAGCGTCTTTCGGCTTTATCGACTCCCACCCTTCCATTGTTCTGCGACACGTGGCACTGTTATGGTTGTTCATACCGCAATCTTTCCGACCGATCGAAGCGGGGAAGCCGGGACTCAGCCGGTTCTGAATGTAAAACCAACAGCCTCGAGGTCAACAGGTGGGCAATTCGCCACAGTTCTGAGACGTCCATAATGGGCGTAGCATGTGACCACCGGCCACACAAAGCACCTCCGAGTCACGAAGAGAAGCACACGACCTAGGCGCAGCATGTCGCTTTGCATGCCTGGTAACTCAGCAGTAACATACGCAAGCTTCTCATGTCATGGCCGCCTGCATCCAAATTATTTAAATTAGACTTGGGTAACAGCAAGACTTACTGCAGGCTGTGATGAAGACAGCTTGGATTTGTGCAAACTTACCTTTGACAAACTGATCTTCGTAACGTGCTTTGGCGATCTTGTAGATCTCGAGATTCTTCTCATACTCAGCTTTCAGTTTGGAGACGTTCTCCTGGTACTGAAAGAAACCAGCTGACGTCAGATTGATTTGGCTGCTTACTGGAAGTACAGAGCAAGCCAAGGACAAAAGTTCTTTTATGCAAAGCTAGTGCCATCGAACGCCATCTCAATGTCAGGAAAATCATAAGGCCGCATGAGAGTCGCAAGGAGCATGTTTGCGATACGGACAATCGCCTCTGCCGTGCCGGTCGCCTCCCAGCCCAGCAGAAGCTTGGCGCCGACGGCGGCAGAGCGTCAGTGGCGGCCGGCACCGACGCCAGCCGCTACACCAGCTGCACCGTACATGGCGGGCCGGGGAGGCGCAGGGCAGTTCGTGGCCAGTGGTCGGACGGGTCTACCTACCGCTTCGCCCGAGTCGGTGATCTTGTTACAACACCGCCTGATCGTCCCACCCGCAGAACGAGTTCGTGAGCGGTGAGTCCCAGCCTTGACCTACCTGCTGACCTCGCGCAGGGCCGGCTCCAATGATCCCGGATGATAACTAATCAACGTGCTGATAACGGCGCTTAGCTCCATGCAGCGCACAAAACGGATCTGTGCAAGGCCAGTTCGCTCGATAAGTGGATGCGGAGGTAAGCGAATGCATCTGTGGGTACTGCCGTCATCCCACATTTGATGGGATGATGAAAATGGCAGCTTGATGTCAGATGTCTTTGAAGTACTGCGTATAACAGCCAAAAAAAGGTTTCGATGGCGTGGAAAACTAGAATTAAACGGCGGAAACGATCACGAAGTACCAATGATACATTTTCCGCGAGACTCAGCGCTTTCTGCTCATATTTTAGGGTTTTTTCTCATGCTAAACTGAAGTCCGTAGCGCTTATACTTTGCATTCATATGGAGTCCTGCTCCGGCATATCGCCTTCCAATGAGCTGGCAGCACACACTCCTGGCAGAATGACGCCTGCGCAGTAAGCGATAGCACAGTCACGACAAAGTCGCCGACACATCCAATCAATCCCCTCCGGCGCCGTGTAACATATTCAAAGCATCGCAGCGCTCGCGTGCTCCTCTCACCGGCATCACAGGCGAGTACGTGCTGCGTCGGCGCCGCGGTCAGCCGGGCCGTCGCCGCGCCGACCGGTCGCGGGCTTTGCATAATCGGGCGGCGGGAAGCGGCCGGGCCCGGCGTCGCGCAAGGTCACGGCCAACGGAAGCGGGTAACGTCCGGGCCACGACCGGCCAGGACGGGCTCAGACGGCGGCGGGCGGCACGGACCGGGGCGGGGCGGACCGGCCCGCTGCACGGTCCCCGAGGCGCCGGCACGCCGCGACGGCGCGCCGGGGTCCGTTCTGACGAGGACGGGAGGGCTCGTCGCCAGCGGGTGCCGAAACCAGCCAGCGTGGAGGTCGAAGCTGTCGGCACGACGGCTATAGCCGGCGCTCCGTGATAGTAAAAACGCGAAGTCGAGCGAGTGCTTCTTAAGAGCATGGCGTGCACTGAGTCTGGGCGTTTCGTGAGAGCGTACGAGATCTTTCGAGGTCAGAAGAGACCATCCTGAGAGGAGCGGGTCTGAAGAGCCCAGCCAATGGTGAGTGAGTACCCAAACGAGCACACACCCGAGACCACACGAGAGCACAACACGCCAACCCATCACGGCCAACCGCCGATGAGGAACCGGTTGGATAAAACTCGGCACCAGAAACTCACACCAATCCGCTGGCACCGACATATCAAGGCACGTTCAAAAGACTGTTCGCCTTGCCATGAGCGTCGCTTGGTGCGTGCCTGCGTCCACTGTCCACGGTGCTGGACTCACATCGGTAGACAGACCGACCGGCACAGAAGTGAGAGCACAGCCTCATCAGCGCAAATGGTCTTCCCCCAATAGAGACGATCGCGGCTGGAAGAGACACGACCACCCGGCACCAGCTGAGGTACGCGCGCCGCGCCGCCGACACCCTTCCCGCCCACTGTGTCGGCTGTCAACGGACGGGGCAGATGGCCGCCGGCAGCGGGCCGCCCGTCGCCCCGAGCACCCGGGCCGCGCTGGCCGCCCAGAGCCACCGCACGGGCGCATACCGTTCCGGTCGACGGCACGCTCTGGCGCGCCGTCGCGGCGTCGGCCGCGCCGCAGCAGCGCCGAGCGGGAGGAGGGCCGCGAGGGTGCCGGGTCGCGCGGGAGGAGGATCGCGCGGGAGAAGACCACGCGGGAGGAGGGCCGCGCGGGAAAAGGATCGCGCGGGAGGAGGATCGCGCGGGAGAAAACCGCGCGGGAGAGAACCGCACGGGAGGAGGGCCGCACAAGAGGAGGGCCACGAGGGAGGAGGGCCGCGCGGGTGCAGGGTCGCGCCGGAGGACGGCGCGGCGCCGCCAGGTTGACCGTCACGGCCCGCCGCGCGCGCCGGCGCACCATTAGAGGGAGAGCTAGGAGACCCGGGGAGATCGCCGGCCGGCTGCGGCTGGCGACGGGCGCCCAGCCGAGCGGCAGCGCGGATCCACCGGCGCCGCTGGATGTCCCGTCAGCTGGGAGGCAGCCTTTGAGACCGCTCAATTTATTTTCAGCACAAGGAACTGATTGGCACATAAGTCTGGAAGCGTCAAACGCCGCCGAGGAAAACGGTAAAAAGTTGCGAGACCCGAGCTCAAGACCTCTCAGTCACGAATTGTGCACGATCACGCTGGTGCCCGCCTCCTCAGCTGGGCAGCATCAGGCACCGAGCTAGGCTAACCTGCAGCGCGGGATGTTGACCATGCAAGGTTAAACACGTACCTATACAGATGTTTGCCTTGCATCGAAGTAAAAAGGGATTGAAAGAACAAACTTCATAACGAAAACCAGCCCACGGAAAACTAAAAACACTGGATCTTGCTCCAGTTGTGTCCAACGTGACCAAACGACGATGGCGGCTTCTAAGCGTGAGTGCTCACCCAAAGAAGCCACCAACGACGAGCTATGGGCGCAGTAACTGCCCGCACAGGTCTCGACTGACGCCGGCCAGCGCCTGCTGGCCAGCGTCCTGTCTGGCCGCGACGTCTCCACTAGCCGGCCGCCAGCTGTGGCAGCTCTTTCATGGGCCGTGGCGGATCGGACACGATCCCTTAACAGCGGCCGGGCCCGCTGCCACGGCGGCCGGGCGGCGGCACCGGCGGCGGCGCCAGCGGAGGCGGCCGGCCGGCTACCGCACGTGGGCGAAACTCGCCGCAAACGTCAAACCGGGCCGTGTTTCTCGCGCCACACGGCGACTGCCGCCACAGCTGCGGAATGAGAAAGGCACAAATATTTCCATCGAGTGCTTTTATGAACGCTGTAGCCGGCACTAGGTTCTCCCAGGGGATCCCGCATGCGGTGAAGCGTTAGAGAGAACGCTGAAAGGACCTCCCTGGACGTCCAGAGGGCCTACCTGAAGCGCACTTTGCAGTCGACATATCCAGCGCAAGAAGGCTGAACCCTACTGTTCAGACCAGAGCACTGCATATCGTTCACGGAAAATTTCAGCACTGGTAAAACAGCCGCCATGTTTGCATTTAAGTTGACAGCGGCTTAACATTTAATCCTGTATTGATATGTTGCCGCAATCTAGACCCTAGTTCATGGACACATCATTTCAACCAAGCGCTGCGAAAGACGTAAGCCAGAAGTCTTTATTCAGACTTCCGTGCCTTGCTCGCGCATCTTTCTAAGCAGGTACTGTGGCCACATGACTGCCAACACGCCACACAACGGATGCCAGTCAACCTTTTTACCACTCCCCTGTCATCGCAGCCACAAATCGCGGAGACCTCCCACGACAGATCCAAGACCTTGCGCCCACGCATATTGTCGTCGCCTCCCAAAGCTCCAAGGCTCCTGCTCGCAGTGTGTACCGGTTTCTATGGCGCTGCCATCGGCTCAGTGCAGGGGTCAATACAAACCCTGTTGACCTGTGCGCGCTGCCGCGATAGCGCTGTTTTGGTCCGTGTCGCCAGGGGGATGGCGCGCTGCCCTGGCGCCGGGGGCACCCCGGGCGGCACCAGTCGTCCTCCGATGGCCGCCATGAGGAGCTGGGTAGTGCTGGCCCTCCTGGGCCTGGTGGCCGCCGGCGCCAGCGGCCAGTCCCAGCTGATGAATGTGCTCGACATCGACGTGAAGGTGCTGGCAGAGATGGCTGGGGTCGAAGTCCCCTCGATCAAGTCGGCCGACTCGGACGGCCTGCAGCCCTGCAATATCACGGTTTCCCCGCAGGTGGAAGAGGCCTCCAAAGCCTGCGCCGCCGAGCTGGAGGAACAGGATGACGCCGAAGCAGAAGATGAGGCAGGTGGGGAAGAAGACGGGAGAGGAGGGAGGGGAGGGAGGGGAGGACGAGGAGGGCGGAGAGGTGGGAGAGGAGGGGAAGACGAAGACGAGGAAGAGATGGATGAAGAGAGAGGAGGACGAGGAGGAAGAAGGGGAGAAGACGAAGGTCGCGGCGGTGGGCGGTCCGGAAGACGTGGAAAGAGGGAGGCGAGGAGACCGGGAGGAAGAGGAGGCCGGGGAGGAGGCAGGGGAGGCGGCAGGCGAGGAGGCCGGAGAGGAGGCGGGCGAGGTTCCGCAAGCAAGGTCGACGAAAATGCGATACAGCAGTGCGTCTTCGAAAAGCTGAACTTGCTCGACTCCGAAGGGTCGCTGAAGCTCGACAGCATGAAAACGCTGATCAAAACCTACCAGGGCGCTCAAACGGGTAAGGAGGTCATGCTCAGGATGACGGAGCTGTGCTACGAAACTGTCGCAGATGTCGAATCAGACAAGCAGGTGAGGATGCTGATGCAATGCGTGAAGAAGAGCATGGCGTCGGCCTGCCCGGCGCACGACCTCAAGCTGCAGAGCCCGGCGCTGGCGCTGCTGAAGACCAGATTAGCGGCCCGGAAGTGCTTCAGTGCGCTGCAGCCGCCGCCGCAGATGGTCCTGGCGCAGTTGCGGTGCGGCGCCGCCGAGATGGTGACGCTGGCCGACAAGCGGCTCGCCGCCCTGGAGGCCAAGGCACGCAGGCGCCGCTCTCCGCAGAAGGGGGACCGTGACGGCGGCAGGGGCGGCGGCAG